CGAGCACACCATTTCTCTTGCATTAATATCAGATCTATTGTTATTAAGTACCAAGAGTAGAAAATATAAAGTGAAGTGTCTCCAGAGCCTCATATTCTGTAGTGACATCAAGAATTTCCTTGGGAAATCGTTCCTTGAATGTGGCTCTGCGCAGCTCACCACCAAACATCTAAGCCCCCACATAAGCAGAAAATTAAGTGAATAATAGGCCCGAAACTCTGAAGGCTATAGAAACCCTGGATTAGAGAGTTTAGAGCGCATATAGTCTAACCTTGCCCCTGGAGCACGTCAGTTCATCCTATAACAAATGGTCACGACTTCTGGCCATCTCCAGCGACTGGGAACCCACCGCCTGACGGGGAGTGTAAAAAGAATTGAAGTAAATGATAACACATTCTCTGGATTAATTCTTAATATTGTCACTAAAATATTGAGAATTTTGAGTGGCATGAGAAGATGCTTAAGATACTGCTAGGTAAAAACAAAGAAAGCTGCATATGTAATATAATTTCAGCTATATTTTAATAATATATAACAACTTATTTAAAAATATCAATGTTGTTTCCTCTAGGCGGTGAAATCAGAGGAGATTTTTTGTTTGTTTGTTTATTTATACTTTTTTTTGTCCTTAACAAATGTTTTATAATGTGCATGTGTTACTGCTATTATTTTGGGATGGGGAAAATTTTCCCCTTGAATGGATGTGGAATTCCTTCTCCAATTTATACTCGTTGGTCCTCTGTGGAGGCTGTGAGGCAACTTGGATCATATCTGATTGTTCTTCCACATAATAGACGTCCAAAAAAGCTGAAGGGAGCTTAAAGTTCTTCTTGCCTTTCTACATGGTTGTTTATAGACAGGCGAGCAGAAACTTTTTTTTTTTTTTAATTTAGGCTTTAAAAACTGAAGTAGTCGAGATTGCTTACCCTACAGAACAATATGTAAATATCTACTATTTTTTCCCCCTTTCCTCTTCCAAAGGAAAACATCAAAGGAAAACAAATACATTACCCAAGACTTCTGGGTTGTATTGAATTCAACATCTTATGAAACTGGGTTTGAGTTTTCTGAAAGTATACGGGAGGTCTTTGATAAAACTTATTCTCTTGGCATAAGGGGACAAGACAGTTGAGACAAACAAACAGGCGCTTTGGAAAGGATGCAATTTTGGGGAAATCTGGGGTTGTGGAGAACCCTGGGGAGCTGAAATGGAGGGGCAGTGGTTTCATGAGGTAGGAGAGAGGACAGTTGTTAGATTTTTTTTGTTGGCTCGATGTTGCCATTGACCTTGTTTGGAGTCATCATCATGAGGAGATTCTGACATGTCTAATGCTAAAATGAACTTTTTTTGCCTGTGTCCTGCAAAGTCAGCACCCCTGGAGTTTAGGGTGTGATAACTGATACAAGGTTGAAGAAGTTTGAAAAAAATGTTTCTGCACTTGAATTCCCTGCAATGCCCCAAGGTTATTTATCAAGATCATCTTGCTGTGTCATCTTCTGTCACCTGCGTGTGGTGGCAGAGTTGCTCTGGGGAATGACTCTTGTAGATTTTGGAAAGTGCTTTTATTCACCATCTTTTTCCCAACTAAACTTCAAAACTTCTAAATTAATGACAATTTGGGAGGTAAGTGGATGTCATCTGTAAATACTTATCGATTAATCTGTTGAATGTATTTATACAAATTAAAAATATGTGTCAAAGATATTTTATCAGATAATGAAGGCAGATTTACTTCAAGCAGAGGCAGATAGAGCTACCGGTGACCTATTTTTGATTTAATTTTTGCAAAGAGTCTGGAAGTGGGTGTCATTAGTAGTTAAGCTGCTGGGCTGAGCTGGATTTTAACACTTTGTTGCATCTAAAACAAGGCTTATCCTGGTTGTGGCTCTGTTTCCAGATGGTCTCCCAGCTTGAAGCACAAAGAGCAGAGCTTGTCCAACAGTTGGGAAAGGTGTCTGAGTCTCACCAGGAAGCTCTCCAGAGAGCCCACAGGGCAGAAGACAAGTTGGAGACTCTTCAGGGTCAGCTGACACACCTGGAAGGAGAGCTGGTTTCTGCAGATGTTTTCCGAGATAACTCGAATTTTGAGAAACAAAAAGTAATGACCCCAGGGGACGTCCATGGGTGGTACCATCTGTTGCAGTCTAAAAATTTTACCTGAGAATATTCTGAATTTTGCCATACTTAGACTGATTATGACTTGGGTCATGAGCAAATTTCAAGGAACACTGAGTCTCTTCCTATTGTTTAGAACTTCTTTGATCCGAATGAATTCAATTAAACTCATATTTTCTGAATGCCTATGATATATGAGGCCCTGAAGGTTTGGGGGCAGTTAAAGTATGAATAATACATAGCCTCAGAATTCGATCGAGGAGACAGACCTTCAGATAATTTGCTGTGCCCTAGACTGTGTATGTGTTAATAGAGTGTGGTAGGCACTTCTGGGTAAAGAGAGTTTACAGCAGAAGAGATAACTAAGTGCATCTTTGCAGGATAAGTAGGATTGTAGTGGTGAGAAGGGGCTGATAGAGGAAGCAGTTTGAACAAGGGCGCAAAATCTTGTAAGTGCTATATTCAGAGAATGCAAAGTGGTTAATCCTGATGGCTGGACCATGGCATTCTAAGTGGGGCTATGGCAAGAGACAAGACTGGAATGGCTTAGATGATAAAGACGGAGCATCTTTATTCTGTAGACTGTAAAAGTGGAACAAATGGTTGTGAGCATAATTGTACAGGCATGTGCTTCATCACAATGATTTAGTCGTGATGGACTGTGGACCAGACTGTGGTCCCTATAAGACTCTGTTGCCTACTGATGTTACAGCTTTTAGTCTGCGAAACTAAGGCGTGCTAAGATGTTCCCACAACGATGAGGTTGTCTGAGGGTGAAGTTCTCAGAACGTAGCCCCAGTGTTAAGCAATGCGTGACTGCATTTCAAAACCGTGAGGACACTGTGGAGCTGACATTGTGGTATGGAGCTGGCCCAGTGGGAGAGAGGGATGAGGAGAGAAGGGATCCACCCTGAGGATCCGAGGGTGGGAGACCATCAGCCACCTCTGAGATGCAGTCTGAAGGAGTGGTGAGAAGGGAAGGCAGTTAGCTCTGGGCTGAGGGGTGATTGGAAGAGAAAGCCCCCTGAATGGTGCCCGTGGATGGGCGGGGCAAGCAGCCTGGGTATGATCAGTAATAGAGATGGGTGTAAATGTGACAGGAACTAAGGAAAAGGAGGGATGAGTTCCTTCCCATTCCTGTGTGTGAGGAAATGAGCTGTCTTCACCAGAAGAGATGCCACTTACCAGGGTCCTCAGGAATGAATAGGAATTTATCAGGAATTCCCCTCAGAGGGAGCTGCAGGAAGGAAGAAGAAATGGAGGTTGACCAGATGGCCCAGGAGGTGAAATGTGGCACAAGGAGACTGGAGCGTGGCGCCTGGTGAGGCCAGAGGTGTGAGGTGCACCCTGGGTG